GAAGCTGGGCTATCTTTTGGTGCACCCTTTTTTCCCGCATTCTGTTTCCTCATAATGTGCACTTCTTTCGGGTAAGCAATTACCAAACGAAATACAACAGTATTCTGCAAAAAAAAAAGAAACAAATTAAACCATAAAATTTCAAATGTACAAAAATCACAAGCAGAAACAAAAAATGTTGCCAGTAAATCGTCACAAGTTTTTTCCACTTTTCTTCTTTTGTTCGTTTCTCTTTGCGTTGCATTGAAATTACCTGCATAGCCGAAAGGAAACAAAACCCCTTCCTTTCCGTTTTCCGTGAAAAGCTGAAGCGCTTGGAAGTAATTCAAGTGGTAACAAATATCAACAGCAATCATCAGCTGGCTTGGCTGTTAATAGCTTCTCTTCTAAGGGGTTTTCACGGATTTTTTTCCCTAGCACACGCCTGTATGAATTTAACGAAAAAAAACCAAATGGAAAGGGACGGATGTTTCACTGGTTTGACTCGATTTCTTAAAAAATTGATGCGGATACTTCTTTTAAGATCGTCAACCGGCTCACGAGCAGTTCTCAAAAAATGGGGCCGTCGATATTAACATCCAAAGTACTTATTATTTACTTCCACCGTACCCTTTCAGCTACTTCCAAATGCCTTCAAAACTTAAAAAAAGACAGAAAAAGTCTTAAATCTGCTCTTATCTAACAGGAATTCCACTGTAAAATAAACCATAGGACGAATTTAATGAGTGAAAAAACAACTTACAAAATGAACGATCAAATAATCATCAAAGGGAACAGCTTGCATTGAATACTTCTCTTTTAGTATTTTCGCCAATTCAACGTAGAATGCTGTTTTTAGGCGTGCAATAGCTCCCAGCTCTTCACCCCATTTGCCACTTTGCTCCATCGTTAGCTGCACTGAAAACAAATGTAAGAAGGCATTTTCATGGGACTGGGAAAACTTTCAGAAAAAAAAAATGATAAAAACGATAAATCAAAAAAAAGAGAAACCTTCGATGGACGGCATGAAAGGTGGTGATTCATGAGATATTGGTAGTGCAATCGTATCTCGAACGCTCGCACTGCCTCTTTCAATCACCGCATATGTTGATCGAGGAGCATAAGGCTATAAATAACGGGAATTTCGCATTCACGATAAACTCGATTCACAAAAAAAGGAAGAAAGTAGAATTTCGTGGTTTGACTATGAAGATCTCCCAGGGACGGAGATTTTGCTCTCTTAACCTCAAATACAATCGAAAGTTATAATAAGGAGTGAAATGAAGGAGAAAAAGGAAAAGGAAGAAAATAAATAAAAATTGGAAAATTTATGAAATTATTATAATGGGCAGAACCAGGTATCCAAACATGGACAATTCAAGTAGTGCTGTTAACGAGATCACAAATCCTGGGTAAGAATGCCCTCAAAAAGATTAAAAAAAAAGAAAATCCCACCAAATCCCACCTTACATTTCATTTTCTGGGAAGGCGGGAGCCTTAAAGTAAAGTAACATCGACTCTACCCTTGAAACAAATTTTTCCCGCTCGTAAATCATGCTATTTGATGAATAAACGATTTCTATAGAACAATAAGGAAACAATTATGTGGAAAAGTACCGCAGTTCGCCTTAGATATGG